CCCCCACAACCACCCCCACCACCTCCACCTCCCCCGCCGCCTGCACCACCGCCCCCTCCACCGCCACCCCCACCGCCACCCCCACCTCCCCTGCCACCCTTGCCGCCCCTGCCGCTGCGGCGCTTCCCACTAGGGGCGGAAGCAGCCCCGACCTCCTCAGCACCAAGGTAGTCGAGAGCAGCAGTTGCGGAGGCGTAGGAGGGGGTAAGAGGGGAGGGGGAGCACCCCTCAAAGAGGGGAGAGCGAGGAGTACCGCGAGCAGCACCTACAGCGAGGATGTTCTTCTCTGCTGCGAGGAGGTGCTTCTCGAGGTCGTCGACAGTGAGAGAATGGGGGTCAAGGGCGGAAAGTGGTCCCTGACTGAGCGAAGAGTGTCAGGGAGGCGGGTGATGAGGAAGTAGAGAGTAAAGTACATCGGGGGGGCGGTTCTCTGTGAGGAACTCGGCTGGAAGGGCGGCACGAAGGCGAGTGTCACTAGCGCGTAGGTGAGAGATGAGGTCCTCAGCGGTGGTAAACGAGGACAGGTCGGGGAACAGGTAGGGTAGCATAAGTCGACCGAGGGCTGCAGTGGCCGGGGAAGAGTAGCGGGCAACTACAGCGTCATACAGTGCCTTGGCAGTCTTGTGCTGGCTAAAATGTGCGCGCTCTGTGATCGGCAGATGGTTGCGAATAGCTAGGCGCGCAGCAGCATCGCGGGTCTGCCACTGGGAGCGGTCTAGAGCAGACTCAGTGGCAGCAGGAGCAACGGCAGTGCCCGACACGTAATCAAATAGGGAAACACCGTCCTTGGCATCAGTCATGAGGAACAGTTGCAGGTCGTCAAGCCAGGTGGAAAACTCTATTGGGCGACCGTCAGGATCGAACGCGAGCACGTTGAGAGTCGCCATGCGTGCAGTGTAGGCAAGTCGAGTGCGCAGGCGGCAAGGCAAAAGGCAAGCAAGGAGAGACTGCGTGCAAGGCTACAGTGGCGGCTTATGGACTGCTGTGGCGGTGCACGGACTCCTAAGGCAGCATGGAGGGCAGCAGTGGGCCGCGCGTGGGCCTCTAAAGCGGCGCGTGGTGCAGCAACGGGCCGCACACGGGCTCCTAAGGCGGGGCACGGTGCAGCAGTAGGCCGTGCGCTGGCTCCTAAGGCGGCGCGCGGAGCAGGGGCGGGCTACACACCGGAGGAGGCGACGCAAGGGGCCGGCGGCAGGCTGCGCGGGCGGCTTAAGCGGCGCGCAGGCTGGCAGCAGGCTGCGCGGGCGGCAGATGCGGCGCGCAGGGCCTAAGCGGGCTGCGCGCGGGTGGCTTACGCGGCGCGCGGGCCGGCGGCAGGCTGCGCGGGCGGCTGACGTGGCGCGCGGGGCCGAAACCGGGCCTAAACGAGCCTAAACGGGCCGCGCGCGGGCTGCTTAAGTGACGCGCGCGGGCTACTTAAGTGACGCGCGCGGGAAAAAAAAATGGGGCCGTGCGCGTGCAGCCGAGGCGCGCGCGGGCAGCAGGCAAGGCAGGCAGGCAAATGAGGTAATGTGGTAACGGGTGGGCCCTAATCTTAGGTCCAAAAGACCTCTAGGCTCTAGATACCATCTTAGAATATAGGCATGAATGAGGTTTGACTATCGAGAGAGTTGGTACAAAGGAGAAACCTAAGGGGTTGTACCCCACAGTGAGTACCCCACTAAGCCTACCCAAACTATAAGAGATATATATATGTTTGACACTGACTCGTGCCATCGTCTCCCCACCGTGTCCTTCTCTCTGCAGATCCACCAGCCGCGCGGGTCCGATGTGAAGACTGGGAGCGTGTAATAGTGGCGGGGGAAAGACGAGGAGCCTTCTGCTTGCTGCAATGGATGTTAGCCTTGTATTCTGTGTACTATATGTGGGTGATTGTGGGTATTCTGTATTCTCGTTGGGTGCTTGGGTGCCTGTATGTCAATCAGTAACACAGACTATCAGTGATTGTAACACAGAGCTGAACTCTAGTTCGCCTATCGTATGAATCCTTCAATCCTTGTGCTGCATCTGTTGAGCAGCTAATCGTACATACAAACGTTGTATCGTATGATAGCCTCTATCATGGTCACTTTTCGCCGCTTCGGTAACTTCGCCGACAGTGCGGCTACTTCACAGGAGCTAGTTAAGCGGCTGGTTGGAAGTGACGAGAGTCGCGAGAGGCGAATCGACAAGTAATCCCTAGAATCGGAAATCCGATAGCTAGACATCTAGCTGCGGCGCAAAAGAAGTTCTGCGGCCTTTCGATACGAAATTCAAGGAATATCAAGATAATGATAACCCAAAATCGGCACCGCTTCTGCGGCCGTTCTCTAACCCAAATTTGGCGCTATTCATTTTTGAGAAAAGGAGTAGCACCAACTTTTGAATAGTCTAGAAAAATGTGCAGTCATGAGCTGACTTGGCTGAAGCCTAAGGCTGCTACTTCGAATATTACTCAGGTCTAAGTGAACTCAAACGCGAATATGCCGCCCGATTCGACGCCACCTAATTTTCCGCGAAGAAGTAACATTGCTTGATAAAGGTATCTGACGACAACAGCCAGCAAGCAGGCAATTTCTAGAGTTGAAGGTTGGACGAGGAATCTGGTAGGGCGCGTACCCATTAGCGGGTTCGAGTTGCGTATCGGAGAACGCGTCATTTGTTTCCTTTTGCTATCGAATCTCGCCAGGAAGGAGCTGTTTGCTCTGTGTCTAGCCATGATAAGGGCGTGTCCCACGCGTTCGTTTACAGTTCAAGTTCAAGTTTGTAACCCTGTAACCCTTTGAATTACGAGACTGCATGACATGCGTCTTCAATGACGCACCTGAATGACGCGCCTAGGACGTCAACAGGTTTGTACTCCCGGCGTACAAGGTACGTGCGATCACCTCGTACCAGGCCCTGCAGTCCGTTACCCCAATCTGAAAAATCGCGAACCCCCCAGTCGAGCGAAAATAATGAGCTTCGCAAGGGGCACGGTTTGTTCGCATTAGGGCGGGTTACCGCCCGCGGCCCAAGTCAAATGTGATTCGGATGACGATTTTTGTGTGGGCGGGCTATGAGCAGGCCTGTCGAAGTTTCTGGGGCTCGTACTTGCGCTCCCCAGCTCCTCCGCATCTGACCCTTGGTTGGGTGTAGGTGTGCGTTTTGGCGCCCTTAACGGTCACGGGCGTACCCCAAAGTGAAAACTTGAAATCCGGGCATGTTTGAAGTTTGCACTTACACTGTATTTTACTATGGTACGTGCAGTTTTCAACTTATATTAGAAGTTACTCATACCTAATACTACACATGTCTTCAATAGTCATAAAACCTAAGGGAATGTTCGGGTGCTCCAAGGCTGACTGAGACACACTACACACACGAGATTGGCTAGAAAACGCCAAGGGAAAAATCCCCTTGGCGCGCTCTAGTGCAGGCTACGGAGAAAGGGGGAGGGGGGGGGGGCTCGGGCACCCTCAGGGGGGGGGTCCCTACGCGGAAACCAAAACTTAGATAAAGGGGAAGGCCTGGTTTCGTCCCTTAACGCATCCGGGGAAGGGTCGAACGAAGCACTTAGTGGCACGGGTGGGGTACGAATCCAGAACTTGCCGCATTGGAGCTGGAGCGAAACTAGCCCTTAATGTTCAGGGCATTAAGGGCATATGCCCTTGAATCGACAGGCCTGGCTATGAGTCTGCGTGGGTCAATTTCGTTTGGCGCTGTGCTGACGCGCTGCGTGTTTTTTACGTCAGAGTGTACACTCTTTTGCTTTGTTTCAGTAACGTAAAAATGATGGTTTTCTCCCCAAATGAACTCATGGGACACGCCCTAAGGATGCGAAATCTGAAGGGGAATGCGATCGCGGTTTGAATTGCGCGAAAAACCAACGGTTGAATTGGGTTGCGCGGTTTGGCGTTGCTGAAACTGCAACTCGGGTTGCGGTTTCTGAACAGGCGCAAAGGTTACACGCCCTGACCTATCCCAGATTCCCAGATCGATGCCTAGTGCTCTTCCGTCCTATCCGCATACACGTATCCATTGAACCGCGATTTCGGAATAGAGGCATCTAGTAGGAATAAAATGCTTCAAGCCATCCTGTCGTACAGAGCCATACGAATATCCGAGCCGTGCGATCGCCGCCATGTTCAAGAAGCGTTCGCGGGCAGCAGCGTCTGTCAGGAGCGGACAGAAAGAAGCTTCGGCAAAGCATCCGAGACAAGTTTCCAGGCGCCACTGACGAGCAGCTGGACGCGATCCTGCCGCCCAAGGTGCTCCTTAGTAGCTTTTGAGACGTCTGAAAGGTGCTGCCGCCCAAGGTGCTCCTTAGTAGCGATCCTGCCGCCCAAGGTGCTCCTTAGTAGCGTAGCTACCCGCTTTAACCTCTCGTATCACCTCGCCCAAGGTGCTCCTTAGTAGCTCCCGCTTTATCCTCGTATTACGCGATCTTGCCGAACAAGGTGCTCCTTAGTAGCTCCCCGCTTTAACCCCGTATTAGTACTCGTACTAGAACAAGGTACTCCTTGTAGTAGGCCCACGCATTCGCCTCCTGATAACACGGCGTAAATCCTCGCCGATCTATTTAGCCACATCGCCGATTTTTTTCAATCCGTTCTGGTGCTTGCGCTCTCCGGATTTCTCTGGTTTGCTTGGTGGTCCAGGCTGACGTGGCGGTGACGACGCTGGTGAATCGCGTGCTGGTGTACGGACTCGAGAGCGGGCTGCCCATGCTCTTCGACTGCGACGGCCGCGGCACCAAAATCTACCCCACTGGTAACCTCATCGCCATGTAACCACACCGAGATCTACCCCACTGGTAACCACATGGCCATGTAACCACACAGATTCTCACACGGACCTGGTGGTGCCCGACTCTGGTGCTGGCTTGCTCTGTCACGTGGAGCAGCACCTAACGCTCCGTCCCCCCTTCCCCACCACACCACGCCCACAGGGAGACAGCAGAGGGCTCGTATGTCCCCAACAGGGACTTTTTGCCGGGCCTGCTTGTGCCTGCCTGTGGTGCCGTGCCCGACCCTGATACCATGCTGGGACCGCCATATGGAGCAACGCCTGACGCTCCCTCCCCCCTTTTGAGTCGACTTATAAGTCATCTTTTCGTGACCGACCCTGATACCATGCTGGCTCAGCCATATGGAGCAGCGCCTGACTCTCCTGCCACCATCCTCATAAGGCTCCTATGTGCCCAACAAAGGCCGTTTGCCAGACCTGGTCGTGCCCGACCCTGATGCCGTGCCGAACCTAGTTGTGGCGGCTGCCTGTGCTGCCCGTTCCCCTGCTCCCACGCCTATCCGCTCTTGTTCCAATCGTCATCCTTTCCCCCAACCGACCATGCTCACAGGGAGGCAGCAGAGGGCTCTTATGTGCCCAACAGGGGCTTCCTGCCTGACCTGCTTGTGCCTGTTCTCGCTCGTGTGCTGTTATGATTAACACTGTCGCTCGTGTTTCCCCCTTACCACGCTCACAGGGAGACGGCAGAGGGCTCTTATGTGCCCAACAGGGGCTTCCTGCCGGACCTGCTTGTGTCTGCCTGTGGTGTCCTGCCCGACCTTGATGCGGCGTCAGCTTCTTCAGAACGAACAGCACCTGAAAATTCATCTGAAGACTCACCTGAAGGCGGTTCTGGTGTCACTGGATCTGGAGAAGGGGAATGGGAGGCGGGGAGGATGATGATGGGATGATGAAGGGGGAGGAGAAGCAGGTGTGGTGACGGAGGAGGGGGCAGCAGCATCGACAACAGTGGCTGCAGAAGCAGGAGAAGCAGGAGAAGCAGTTTTATCAGTGAACCTACTGGAATCTGCTGCTCCTGCTTCTCGGCACTGAACCTACAACAAATGGCCTTCACGGCACTGTTGCTGCTCATGATAATAATGTTGCAAACAAAGAATCAGCAACACCTACAGCAGCAGCAGCAGCAGCAGCAGCGGCGGCGGCGGTGGCGGCGGCGGCTGCGGTGGGGGCAGTAGCAGAGGCGGTGGCAGTGGCGGTGATGGCGAGTGCCGGCACAGCTCGGCTGTGTTCCCTCTGCTGCTATGCTCCCTCTGCTGCTATGCTCCCTCTGCTGCTATGCTCCCTCTGCTGCTATGCTCCCTCTGCTGCTATGCTCCCTCTGCTGCTATGCTCCCTCTGCTGCTATGTTCCCTCTGCTGCTATGCTCCCTCTGCTGCTATGCTCCCTCTGCTGCTATGCTCCCTCTGCTGCTATGTTCCCTCTGCTGCTATGCTCCCTCTGCTGCTATGCTCCCTCTGCTGCTATGCTCCCTCTGCTGCTATGCTCCCTCTGCTGCTATGCTCCCTCTGCTGCTATGCTCCCTCTGCTGCTATGCTCCCTCTGCTGCTATGCTCCCTCTGCTGCTATGCTCCCTCTGCTGCTATGCTCCCTCTGCTGCTATGCTCCGTCTGCTGCTATGCTCCCTCTGCTGCTATGCTCCCTCTGCTGCTATGCTCCGTCTGTGCAGGCCCTCTCCATCTCAGTCAAGCCCTCGCACCTGCCCCTGCCAGCCAGCTCCCTTTGCTATGATCCACCTGCTATGTTCCCTCTGCTGCTATGCTCCCCCTGCCACGCCCTATGCTATGCTCTCTTCCCTTTGCTATACACCGCCTGCTATGTTCCCTCCGCTATTTTCCTTGCTAGATAAGCGGCAGGGACGACAAGCACCGCAAGGAGTTCATCGTCTCATTCATCAACCACCGTCACCACGCCCTCCTCGAATTCTGGCCACATAAGACAAGCAAATCCGCCCAAGCCCCCACAATTGCACCCCAAGGTAGCTCCTTTGGTACACTCGGAATAGCGATTGAGACCAGCTCTACTGCTGCAAATGCCTATTTTATTTTGTAGTCGACTCAACAACAGCCTATTTTTGAGTATACTCAAACACAGAATGCCATAAGTGGGAGTTAAGGCCCGTGCCACTGCTGCAACTGCAGGCGTGGCACAGGGTAGAGAGGAGGGGGAGGAATGTGGAGCGGAAGGGGGAGAAAGAGCCAGTGCAGATGTTTGTGAGGGGGCAGTAGGGCAGCAGGAAGGTGACTCGGCTGAGAGGCGTCAAGGCTTATCTGGTGGAGGCTTATCTGGTGGAGGCTTATCTGGTGGAGGCTGAGCTGCTCGCTGGTGAGCTGAAGAAGAGATTCGCCTCGAGCACATTTGTGGCTGACGTGCCCAGTGGGTTGTTGTTGCTGGGAGTGTCAGGTGGGTTGTTGTTGCTGGGAGTGTCAGGTGGGTTGTTGTTGCTGGGAGTGTCAGGTGGGTGGTTGTTGCTGGGAGTGTCAGGTGGGTTGTTGTTGCTGGGAGTGTCAGGTGGGTGGTTGTTGCTGGGAGTGTCAGGTGGGTGGTTGTTGCTGGGAGTGTCAAGTGGGTTGTTGTTGCTGGGAGTGTCAGGTGGGTTGTTGTTGCTGGGAGTGTCAGGTGGATTCTTGTTGCTGGGAGTGTCAGGTGGGTTGTTGTTGCTGGGAGTGTCAGGTGGGTTGTTGTTGCTGGGAGTGTCAGGTGGGTTGTTGTTGCTGGGAGTGTCAGGTGGGTTGTTGTTGCTGGGAGTGTCAGGTGGGTTGTTGTTGCTGGGAGTGTCAGGTGGATTGTTGTTGCTGGGAGTGTCAGGTGGATTGTTGTTGCTGGGAGTGTCAGGTGGGTTGTTGTTGCTGGGAGTGTCAGGTGGGTTGTTGTTGCTGGGAGTGTCAGGTGGGTTGTTGTTGCTGGGAGTGTCAGGTGGGTTGTTGTTGCTGGGAGTGTCAGGTGGGTTGTTGTTGCTGGGAGTGTCAGGTGGGTTGTTGTTGCTGGGAGTGTCAGGTGGGTTGTTGTTGCTGGGAGTGTCAGGTGGGTTGTTGTTGCTGGGAGTGTCAGGTGGGTGGTTGTTGCTGGGAGTGTCAGGTGGGTTGTTGTTGCTGGGAGTGTCAGGTGGGTGGTTGTTGCTGGGAGTGTCAGGTGGATTGTTGTTGCTGGGAGTGTCAGGTGGGTGGTTGTTGCTGGGAGTGTCAGGTGGGTTGTTGTTGCTGGGAGTGTCAGGTGGGTTGTTGTTGCTGGGAGTGTCAGGTGGGTTGTTGTTGCTGGGAGTGTCAGGTGGGTGGTTGTTGCTGGGAGTGTCAGGTGGGTTGTTGTTGCTGGGAGTGTCAGGTGGGTTGTTGTTGCTGGGAGTGTCAGGTGGATTGTTGTTGCTGGGAGTGTCAGGTGGGTTGTTGTTGCTGGGAGTGTCAGGTGGATTTTTGTTGCTGGGAGTGTCAGGTGGGTTGTTGTTGCTGGGAGTGTCAGGTGGATTGTTGTTGCTGGGAGTGTCAGGTGGGTTGTTGTTGCTGGGAGTGTCAGGTGGATTTTTGTTGCTGGGAGTGTCAGGTGGATTGTCGTTGCTGGGAGTGTCAGGTGGATTGTTGTTGCTGGGAGTGTCAGGTGGATTGTTTGGAGGCTTATCTGGTGGAGGCTGAGCCGCTCGCTGCTGAGCTGCGATAGAAGTTTGTTTCGAGCACTTCGGTGGCTGAAGTGCCAGGTGGATTCTGCTGCAACAGGTGCCAGAGCTATATCGATCCTTCTACTACCAAGTCCCGACCCTACGGGGTACCGACCTTACGGGGTACCGACCCTACCATGTCTGGCTGCAATTTCTGGCATTGTATTTTGCCGAGCACCTGAGTGCACAAGTGCCAGGTGAGTATAGCCATGCAACGCTGCAGAAGTGCCTGGGCACCCTTTCTTTTGTAGTTATGTTCTATCCCTTTTCTATTCGCACGCAACCCCCTACTGTTTCCCCATTTCCTTCGTCCCTTTTCTTCCACGCTACCACTCCCTTTCGATTTCTGCCTCCTCCCTCCTCCCTCCGCTTAAAAGCAGGCAACAAGGGGCAACATGAGGAGGGATCCTGCATAAGTTGTCTTGGCAGCTTGAGGATTCGTATGGCATTCCAAAATCCTCTGTAACGGCAATCATTCACACCAGAAGGTGATGCATGTATGTAATTATCCTGAAGTTCCTGTACGTAGTATGGCACTTCGCCCTCATCCGTCCAATGGGAATCCGGGAAACAATCTGAATCATGTGCAATTACATCGATACTAGGACAAATATTTCCGTAATCGATGACAAAGTGTTAATTTGTTTTTCCAGAATATCATATATTACTTTTCATGATGACGCCTCATTTCATGGTAATCATGGATTGGTTTTGAATTTAATGCTCATGGATCATCCCTTAGTTGGAAACTCAGTAAAATTGGTAGGTTTTTTTTTATATATATATATATTGTAATTGAGAGCATACACCGACAGAGCAAATGTATACCCACAAAGACAGTCGTAACTGAGCGTGAGGGACAGAGACGGGCTGCCCCAAGTGGGCTTCTAAGGGGGATGGTGGATCATGCGAGGGTTGGTCCAGATCACTTCGAAGGCCCTGACCCACGTCAGTTTCTTATCACTAGCCGACCTGATGCGGCTCAACAGCTTCTGCTCCTCGGCCATACATCCCTGCAATTTGTCATGTCCCACCTTCCTCCTCTTTCGACACGACATCTCCCTTGCCTTGATGTACACCCTCACATGCTGCCGGAAAGCGAAGATTATCCGCCTCAGCACTCGGCGCGCCCTGAACTTCTTCTCCCGGAACACTGCATCGCACCTCTCCAACCACAGCTGATACAAAGTGATGGCAATCAGCGTCGCTTCTCGGAATGCTGAGCTGGATCCTGCCTTTCGAAACAGAAGGTCCCCCAGGCATGACACCGTGCGCGTGGGGTTAATCAAGCGGAGCGCCCGCCTGAGAGCAGTCACCACCACTTGGATTTGAGGGCAGGTGTAGAGACAATGCTCCAATGTTTCCTCCTCCGAGCAGTGCGGGCAGGAAGGCTTGCTGCTGAGAAACGCCAGTCTTTCTCCGACTTGTAAATTGAAATTGTGTATCCGCGTAAGCATGTCTCTTGGTCTACACGGCGTGACCAGAGACTCCCTAATGGCCGTTGCCTTTTTCCAGCACAACTGCCCGCGCCAGCGTTCCGCCCACTTCAGCCTCCTGTGCGACTGCAGTCTCTCCCCCTTCTAGAACCCTTTCATTTTCGCCAGCGAAATCACTTTCCCGTCCTCCAAAATGGGCACCAGCGGAATCCTTTGCGCCTCCTCCGGCAACGAGGCAGCCGAGCTCTCACTAGGGGTCAGCAGAACCTCCTTCCATTCTGCTGGAGCTGCTCCGAAAGCTCTCAACGCAAGCTTAGCGGGTCCTTTGTCCCCCAGCTCCAACGTCAGCTCCTCCATGGTTTTTTTTTTTTTTTTTTTTTTTTTTTTGTAAAATTGGTAGTTGTTTAGCTATGCATCTCAAATCAAAGCCGCGTAGTTCATACACTCCCAGTTTGCACCCCCCATATCTCACCGCGATTCAAGCAGTTCTTGAAGCTGGGAATGTGATCAATTTTCCTGAGAAACCGTTTCTTATCCCTATGTAACGCTCTGGAAACGTGTGTAACACACCACACCACCCAACATCCACTCTGTGGTTGATCTACTCACTCATCCCAATGAATTATGGTTGGAACTTTTGAACGCGTCTCACTGAGCTTCTCGATTGTGATTTCGCTGAGGATCGCGGTTCGCGATAGTGACAGCGCTGAGCGTGAGCAACTGCGCTTCAGCCCCCGCACATTCACCACGATGCGCCCATTTCACACCATACAAATGCCCACACCACACCTTTTTCCTTCCAACACCATTCCCACATTTCCGACCTCATTCACTAGCTACTAGTATTGAACATGGCGCGTCTGCTTACTGCTTTCCTTCTCCTGCTTGCCTTCACCGTCACTCTCGCATCATTCGCTTCTACTGCTGCTGCTCGATCTGACCTGCTTCATGGCAATGGGATGACTGTTGACGGTAAGTCGCAGACCCGTGCCAATTATTTCCGTGCGATAATAGCGTGCATCTCGAGAGGTTGGCTCCATGTTATGGTAATGCGCATATCCGTGCGATGGTAAGTCGCAGACCCGTGCGATGGTGACGCGAATCTCGAGAAACTGAGCACGTCCTCGATGCTTGGCCGCCAAGCGACTAGGATGCGTGAAACGACATTGAATCACACTCGCGTCGTACCTGCACACATTTGCTCTCTCACTTGTTTTGAGTCGAAATTTGAGTCTGTTTTTTTAGTCGAAGCGCCTGACACTCCCTCCCTCCCTTTGCCTCCCCTCATTCCTTTTTCCCGGTCCCCTCGTCCCCTGCGCGAATATTCGTGTCGGCATGGCATGGCGGCAGGTGCGTCGGGAGCGGTAGACACCGCCGCCGGCGTCATCACGGCAGAGAGCGCACGGAGTTCTGCTCAGCGCAGCGCGGGGAACGACGCGCAGAGCCGGCGCACACTTCGTTTTTTTGGGGCTCGTAAAATTAAGTTCGCGGCTGATGGTAAGAATGGTCATGCCAAGCCCCACACGAATACAATATACTTGCAATCCCTTCGGTTACTCGCTGTTTTCTTTCTATCCTTTCTGTCATTTTCTGCTGTTACTGTATACTCTGGTCATTCCGTGTTGCCCAGACTTGAATGCTGGGCGCATTGGGGCTTTGAAGGAGTATTACCGGCTGTAAGGAACTAGGGCACGCCTCTAAACAGCTCAAGTATGGGGGTAAATCGTGGCCGTCCGTTTGCTATGCCGCCCCTCTTCATGTAGC